TTCAACCTGAGCCAAATACAGCCTTCAAGATATACATCAGCCACCATGTGCTGCACAAGAGAGATTATATCTGTATATAGACATAATATACATTAATATGTTTTCTATCATTTATACAATTTATTTTTATATGAATACTTTTATCTACAATTTCATGATAAAACTTCAGCAATGTTAGAATAATTATCAATTTGTAAAAGCCATGCACCTGGAAAAATATTTATAGTTCTAGGAATTAACAGTACGTTGTGACGGTCAGATACAAAAAGAGAAGAAAGCATTTTGGAAGTGAATATTCCCTGGGAGTCTCTCTAGAATGTGTAAGGTAGCTAAAGGGAGGTCTTTTTTGTTTTTGCAAATTTTTTTTTTTTCCCAATTTTGAGATAATCTTTATTTTCTATTTTTCCTGGGGTTGGCAAATTCACCTTGAAAAAGTTTCAGGGAATACCAGTGAGAAAGGCACATGAACAATAGTGCTAGTTTTAATTAGGACCCATTCTCCTGTATCATCATATCTAACTTGACTGATCTCCCTGCAAAGTTATATTAGAACCACAGAGCCAGCAGGACAACTTTGTCTTGCTTAATCTGAAACTTAACTGAAGTGGCTACTGAGCACATAGGTAACAACTGCCTGCCACCTTAGTGAACAATTCAACATACCTGGAGAAACTCCTGGACTAATGTAAGTCTACCACTTTTCTCTACTGGCACCAAATTTGGGCATTTACCTTGGAATGCTCGTTTCAGGTAACAGTTCATCTTCTACCCTTTCTTCTTCTCCAGAGTCTCCAGGTTGACACCTGATGCCACCCACACCAGGAGCACAGTGGCCATTAGTGTAACAGAAGTGACCTGCTTCCCTTTTTTTCTGTATAAGGGGCTACCACACTGGGCTCCTCAACCAATTATTCCTGTTCATTTCTTCAAGGATTCACAATTAGTAAGAATCTTGGCCGGGCATGGTGGTTCATGCCTGTAATCCCAGCACTTTGGGAGGCCTAGGTGGGCAATTCATAAGGTCAGGAGTTCTAGACCAGCTTAGCCAACATGATGAAACCCTGTCTCTAATAAAAATACAAAAATTAGCCATGTGTGGTGGTGCACACCTTTAATCCTCGCTACTCAGGAGGCTGAGGCAGGAGAATTGCTTGAACCCAGGAGATGGAGTTTGCAGTGAGCTGAGATTGCACCAGTGTATTCCAGCCTAGGTTTGACAGAGTGAGACTCCATCTCAGGAAGAAAGAAAAAAAGAATCTCAAAGAATGGATGCCCTAGTTCTTCAGCTTATTTTTCATAGCCTAATAATTTGGGAAAAATATTTGAAAAGTGGGAAAGTGGGTTCATAACAATTGTCAAAAAGAGATCCTGAAGAAGATCTTATTGAGCTTTCTCACTTTACAGTCCTGATTGAGACTTGGGGCAAGCTAAAGTTTTGTTGTGTGTAATTATTGTTATTCATAAGCTGAAAACACTTTTTGCTTTACAAGGGGTTGGTAATAAAATATACTTTTGGAGTAGATAGTCTCTTTGTTTCGATGGAAAAAATTCGCATCTGAATATATCCTTGAGGGTTCATCTTATAATGCAGAGATGGATGTACTTCCCAATTTTCCATAAGAAAACATATTTTTAAAATGCAGCTCTTTAGACTGAAATTCTAAATCAAAATTAGTAAAATAAATCCCATGGGTGACCAAGGCATAACTGTGGCTCTAAAATGGTTTTGCAAATGTGTGTGGAGATTTTCTTTTCTTGATATACCTGAACAGCTTCTGTCTGTAAATTCTGTCATGCAGAAATTTGTGGAAATTCATATGTCTGTGCAAATGAGAACATGTGAGCGGTAGAAAGAAAGGGAGTGAGAGAACTTTTGTTTGAAAAGCTCTTCACCTCCCATGGGAGGGCATAAAATGGAAAATCAGCAGGTAAGGCCTTCAGGCTTGAGAATCTATGGGGAAGCAAGAAATGAGAAGGGAATGTCCTGTGTTTGGCTTGATTCAACCTGGATTGCTTGACGTTCTACTCGGCCTGCCATACAAGAACAAATAACTCAATATATTGATTATAATCTGATATAATTGTTGTTTAGGGACCAAAGGGTAAGTCCAGTTTTGTCATGGGTATAAATGCTTATCATCATGATAGCTAACACCTACTGAACACTTATTACATACCAACACCTACTGAACATTTATTACATACCAAGCGATATTCTAAATGCTTTCCACATATTAATTGTTGCCCTCACAGCAGCCTCCAAATTAGGAACAATTGATATTCCTGTTTTAAAGATGAGAAAACTGAGGCCCATGGAGATCAAATAACTTTCTCATGGCTCCAGAAAGAAAGGAAGCTGCAAACTGAGAGGGAGCTGAACTTGTAGGGTTTGGTGGAGTCAGGTTGCTCTTTTTCTCAGGTTTGTGATTTTTCTGATGGAAAATGGTTACTAAGATAGGTAACCATTTATGACAAGGCTTAAGAAGGTCCCTCTCTCAATGGGCTTCCCAACAGGTAGAGGGAAATGAAAAATCCATGAAAGCATCCCACTGGTAAAAGTGCTAGCCACAGGGCACCTGCCACACAGAATTCACCTACATCTGATTAGAATTCTGCCAGTCAGTTAAGATTTTTTGTATTGTTTTTTATTCTTTCTTTGTCTCTATCCCTGCTGCCTGAAATTCAGTTCCTTGGGTTGCTATATGATTATCTTCTAAATGCATTAAAATGTATTGGTTGATATAATCATAGGCATTAAATTATCCTTACTGCTGTTACATGAAAGAGATGAAGTTTTAAAATAAATATGACCAATCTTACTGACTTTTAATTTATGTCTTTCTACCTCCCTGAACTACTGCTATCCTGACCTTTGGTGTGTGTGTGTTAATTAGTGTATATTCATTGAGAGAGAGAGAGAGAGAGAAAGAGAGAGAGAGAGAGAGCGAGCGAGAGAGAGAGAGAGAGAGTGTGTGTGTGTGTGTGTGTGTGTGTGTGTGTATTTGAGATAGGGTCTTGTTCTGTCACCCAGGCTGGAGTGCAGTGGTGCTGTCTTGGCTCACTGTAACCGCTGCCCCGCCAGCTCAAGCAATTCTCCCACCTCAGCCTTCCTAGTAGCTTGAACCACAGGTGCACACCACCATGCCTAGCTAATTGTTTTGTATTTTTGGTAGAGAGGGAGTCTCACCATGTTGCCCACTTTGGTCTCGAACTCCTGAGCTCAAGCAGTTCACCTGCCTTGGCCTCCCAAAGTTTGGGATTACAGAGCTGAGTCACCATGCTCAACCTACCTTTTTTTAAAAAAAGTATTGAATTCAAGTGGTGAGAATAAATATCTGTATCTTGTTTCTTTTTTTAAAAAAACTTTAATTTTGAGTTCAGGGATATGCATGTTTGTTACATAGGTAAACTTGTGTCATGGGGTTTGTTATACAGATTATTTCATCACCCAGGTATTAAACCTAGTACCCATTAGTTATTTTTCCTGATCATCTCCCTCCTCCCACCCTCCACTCTCCAATGGGCCCCAGCATGTGTTATTCCCTGTATGTGTCCATGTATTCTCATCATTTAGCTCCTGCTTAAAAGCAAGCTAAACGCAGTATTTGGTTTTCTGTGTTTGCTAAGGATAATGGCCTCCAGAGTGTCCCTACAAAGAACATGATCTCGTTCTTTTTTATTGCTGCATAGTATTCCATGGTGTATATGTATCTTGTTTCTAATCTCAGAGAAAGTATGACATTAACGAAAATATTCCTTCCATTCTTAGTTTGCTAGGATTTTCTTTTTGAATCATGGATTGATGTTAAATTTCATGAAACTTTTTCTCTGTATATTGAGATAAGCTTATGATTTTTCTTCTTTACTCTGTTAAAAGGGTAGAGTACAATGAGTGTCTAATGTTCAATCAACATTTCATTTCTGAAATAAATCTTACTTGTTTATGATATATTTCATATTAAAATAGTTTTAATATAGTTACTATATTATTTAGTTTTTTGCTTTTCTGTTCATTAGTGAAATGAACCTATGATTTTTCTTTCTTGTACTGTTATTTTTGTGTTTTGTTATCAAGATTATTATGTCCTTATAAAAAGTCAGACTGTACCCACTTTCTCTAAGTTTTGGAGAAGCATATGTAGCATTGGCGTCATTTATTCCTTACGTATTTTGCAGAATTTGCTAGTGAAAATGATTAGTCTGGAGTTTTGTTTGTGAAACAATAATATAGTTCAACTCTCTTATTTACAGAAGAGAAAAAAGCCAGGGAAATGAATGATATATTTAGTAACTGATAACTCAGAAGCAGGTGAACTGCTTCACTAATTTCACTTCCCTGGAATTATCAAGTCAATGTCTTTACTAATTAAAGGAATATATAGGTTTTTCTATTTTCGTTTTGTTTTATAAATTATATTTTCTAAGACTTTTTATATTTCATCTGAAATTTTAGTTATCAAGAAAATTGTATTCTGTTACCTTTTTAAATGTCTGATGTATAGGTGATGTTTCTTTTTTATTCTTGATATCATGTAATTTGATCTTACTGTGTTTCTTAAAATCTTGATTACATATCACTAGAGGTTCATCAAATTTACTTCTTTTTTTCTAAAATAAAATTTTAGCTTTGTTGATATTCCTTATGGAAGAACTCCAATGAAGTGTCCAGAACTTAGAGACACTGACTTCTTAGCGAGATCAAAGAGGCAGTGTGCTAGTCACACTGTAGAAGCAGAGGGTCACTGGATTGCAGTGAACCAACAACAGTGAGGAAGCCAAGGGTATCCTAGAGAGACCAGATATTAGAAATTCATCCTTTGAATGTCACGTGAGTCTTTGATATTAGAATTTAATGCTAGAACAGAGAGGAACTTCAGTAATAACTGAGATGGAATTTTCCTTTCATCCCAGAAGGCTGCCAGCCTGAAGTTAGAATTGTATTGATATTATCAAAATTTTTGTAGACTTACCTTCATAGTCTCTCATTTTTGTTTTTCCAGAGGTGAATCACTTCAAAGAGAAGGAACAGATTCTCATGGACCCCACTGCCCTGCAGGCCAGATGGTTTGCTGCCATTGTTTTCCTGTTACTTACTCTCAAACAGGTAAATTTCTAGACCCTAAAAGGAGTGATGCTATAACTAAGTTTTTGTATGTGTGTGAGTGTGTGTGCATGTATTATAGGGATTTGATGATAATTTTTAATTAGCACAACTTCAGGTATACATATCTCAGAGGAATGCTATGAGTATTTGGCAATTAATGTTTGTAAATCACCTTGAGATCCTTGAGGTAGAACGGTGCTATATAAATGAATAATGAAGTAATAAAAATAATAATGCATGCACTTATATTCCCAAGCCTGTTGCCTGAAAAAGATCTTGAAGTTGAAGGAGAGCTGTGCAAAATGTAGCTAATAAGAAAATATCATCATACTCCCCTTAAGCCGTAATGAAAAATGTCTGTGAAATACAGAATGCAAACATAACCCATGCCTGTGATTCCTAATATATTTATGAATGCTTTTCATTTGGATAAGTAACTATTTCACTATTTGTATATAGTAATTACATCAAGAATTAAAGAGTGTAATCATTTATCTGGGATGTTATTAGGTGAAAGCTAATTGGCAGTTGTTTCAACATAATTGCTTAATGTCGTTCAATGATAAATAATGATTCTAGTATTAATTCAAGTCTTGTCAATGGCATAATGGATATTTCTGCAAATATTTTTAGAAGTAATTTGTAAAAGGCAAAAAAAAGCCTAAGGTGCCCTCAAACTATAAAATAAGTGACTTTTCATATCTTCATTTCCTTTCAATATTAAAGGTCAATGGTCTTCTGCCTTTAACAACATTCTTTTCCCTCTGCACTGCAAAAGGAGGAAGAGGAGGAATATACATATTTACTTTGCCACTAAATTCAACCATTTATATTTTGGTCAGTTGAATTCTGAAAGTTCTGAAAATGGCATCAAAGCTCATAGAACCAGTACGATGAGCTATTTTCCTAATTACACATAGTAAGTTAGAAGACTGTGTCTTTACTAAATCAAAGCTTTAGAGTAGAGAAAATAGAAGAAAAACGTGATTATATTAGCTATTAACTACTTTTACACTCCAATTTCACAACTCTTTCATACCTAGCCAAGTTTATATGAGAAGCTATATTGTTTATTTTTATTGTCGTTATTTGTTTGTTGTCTGTCACCCCCAACAAGAATATAAGCTCTTTGTAGCAATATCTTGTCTTTCTTACATGTATTTCTACCTTGCCCCATAATAAACACTTACAAAATATTTCTGAACAATTAATTGATGATCAAGAACCCCATTGTTTCCTTCCCGAAACAACTATTATTTGGAGACATTTTTATTGTTATACAAAATTATAACAATTTAACTGCTATGAAATTTTCTGATTTCCTGGAAACAAATACCTAAAAGGAAAATATGAAGGCATAGAACTTGCTTCCTGGGGGTCAGTGCTGTACAGGAGCTGGCTTGTGTTGGCTCACGAAAGCTGGTTGTCTTCATTTCTAAGTCTGTGATCAGTGATTTCACATCGTTTTCTTTCAATAGGCTTTGGAGGGAGTATGTAGACCACAGAAATAGGAATATTGTACAAGTCAGGGCCCCCGGCCTCACCCTATCCATGGAGAGCTTGTTGTCTAATATCTAACAGCATACCACGGTGGAGGTAGGAAAAAAAAGGGTAAACTTGATGATGGATAAGTCATGGAAAATCATCATATAGAATGATATATATATAATAGCTATTTTTCTTCAATCCTGATTCAGAATAGGAAGAGGAAGTGTCTTCAAACTTGGCAAATTTACAAACATAAATTAAAAATCATGAAGTATCCTTATGGTCTTTAAAGCATTCTCATTTAGATAATGCACTTTTACTTAGGTCTAGGCAGTATGTTTCTCAATTTCAGCACACTAACAGAGTAGAAGAAAGTTTGACAAGTGAGAATGAAGGTTGTTGGAAAAAGCCTAGATTCTTCTCCCAGTTCTTAATCACAGCTTGCACACTGAGGCCATTTATGTTGAGGTTGGAGGCACATACAATTGAAAAATCTTTTAAGAAGTTCAAAATCTGCCCAGATTTGGTTAGAACTGTATGCCTAAAGATAAGATTTTAGAAACATAATTGACGGTCAAGTTTTTTTTTTTCCCATTTATTTATTTTATTGCATTTTAGGTTTTGGGGTACATGTGAAGAACATGCAAGATTGTTGCATAGGTACACACGTGGCAGTGTGATTTGCTGCCTTCCTCCCCATCACCTACATCTGGCATCTCTCCCCTTGCTATCTCTCCCCAGCTCCCCACCCTCCACCATCCCTCCCCTATTTCCCCCCAACTGACCCCAGTGTGCAGTGCTCCCCTCCCTGTGTCCATGTGTTCTCATTGTTCAACACCCGCCTATGAGTGAGAACATGCGGTGTTTGATCTTCTGCTCTTCTGTCAGTTTGCTGAGAATGATGGTTTCCAGGTTCATCCATGTCCCTACAAAGGACACAAACTCATCGTTTTTGATGGCTGCATAATATTCCATGGTGTATATGTGCCATATTTGCCCTGTCCAGTCTATCGTCGATGGGCATTTGGGTTGGTTCCAGGTCTTTGCTATTGTAAACACTGCTGCAATGAACATTCATGTGCACGTGTCCTTATAATAGAACGATTTACAATCCTTTGGATATATACCCAGTAATGAGATTGCTGGGTCAAATGGAATTTCTATTTCTAGGTCCTTGAGGAATCGCCACACTGTCTTCCACAATGGTTGAACTAATTTACACTCCCACCAACAGTGTAAAAGTGTTCCTATTTCTCCACATCCTCTCCAGCATCTGTTGTCTCCAGATTTTTTAATGATTGCCATTCTAACTGGCGTGAGATGGTATCTCAATGTTGTTTTGATTTGCATTTCCCTGATGACCAGTGATGATGAGCATTTTTTCATATGTTTGTTGGCCTCATGTATGTCTTCTTTTGTAAAGTATCTGTTCATATCCTTTGCCCACTTTTGAATGGGCTTGGTCAAGTTTTATAAGTGGATGTAACCACAAATTCAGAGAGAAAAAATGCTCAGTTCAGAGAGATGGGAGAAGTTACAGTATGGGAATTATTAGATTTTTAAAATTAATCATGGATAAATAATTGACATATGTGGAGATCTTGGATTCTTTAGGGCCACAAAAAGTAATGGTATGATCAAGAGGGAATATGAACTATAAAACCTTCCAGGGGCTGGGAGTGGTGGTTGAAACCTGTAATCCCAGCACTTTGAGAGGCTGATGTGGGCGGATCACCTGAAGTCAGAAGTTCAAAACCAGCCTGGCCAACATGGTGAAACCCTGTCTCTACTAAAACTACAAAAATTAGCCAGGCAGGATGGTGGGTGCCTGCAATCCCAGCTACTAGGGAGGCTGAGGCAGGAGAATCGCTTGAACTTGGGAGGCAGAGGTTGCAGTGAGCTAAAATCGTACCCACCTCACTCCAGACTGGGCGACAAGAGTGAAACTCCATCTCAAAAACAACACAAACCAAAACCAAAAATAAAAACCCTTGCAGAAAGGTCAAGGGTAGATGATGGAGCAACAATAGCCGACTTGGAAATTCAGTCTTAGAGAGCAGTTTTCATTCAATAGCAATAATGGAGGCTAAATCAAAAACTAGTTACTAGTGGATAGGTTCTTTGGGGCATGAATAATATTAAATTTTTAAAAGACTGGATATGAAAAAGAGAGAATAAAGAAATTCGAAATTCATAAAGAAATTAGAGTTTATGTATATTTTATTGTTTTGGAATGAAGAAGACAAGTATATTTATGGGTAAGAAGAATCCAATGGAGAAGAAAAGTAAAAAGTAAGACGTATGATTTAGCCAAAAAAAAAAATAAACAGACAAGGGGAAAGGATAAAATTATATAGAGATTTGGCTGTTGAGGGAAGGAATTTTACATATTCAATGTTTTTTGTCTTTATCTCAGTTAAATAAAAAAAAATCAGGCCATATGGTGAGATAAAGACAGGATTATTATAGTGAAGTAAATATACAATAAATTTCAGAACCTGACAAACACAGGCTTATTTCTGGGTTTTGCTGCTTATTTTGTAACTTTAGACAAGTCACTTATCATTCTTCTGTCTACTCCCTTAAGAATAAAAATAATATCAATCTAAAAGATTTATTTTTAGAGCTAACAGTAGCTGACATTCATTGGATAATTTATAACTTCCAGTTGTTAAATCAGTGTTTTGAAGTAGGTGCTATTATTATTTCAATTTTACAGGTTAAGGAAACTGAGATATACAGAGATTAAATAACTTTAATAAGGTCACATAAGTTGCAAGAGACAGAGCTAGGATTTGAACCTTGGCAGGGGACTATACAACCTCTCTAATGTATCTAAAACATCTTAGTACAATTCTTGACATGTAGAAGATTCAATAACTAGAACCTGTGATTATTGCAAACTTTATTATGTTAAGGACTTGTCATTTTCTAACTTTATATAGAGTTAAACTTGTTAGAAAATCATCTGAAAAGAAATTAAACATTTTATGAACACCATGTTCAATTCTAGGTAACAACAGAGGTTACACCTAAGGTTTAATATAGATGACTATGTTACAGGCATAGATTAGGGCCCAGATATGTTTACTTGTGATCTAAATGACTAATTTTATTTTTGTTTTAAATAATATCCTATAATAATATTAATCAATTCATATAACCTTAGATAATAGAGATTTATATCACTTAAAAGATATCCCTTTCTCGCTTATTTTTTTCTAAGGATTTATAGTGTATCAGGATATTGTTCGGGGAATATTGAGGGACTAACTTTTACTGCTTATCAGAGGAACTTGGTATCAACTGAGATATACATTACTTGGAGTCCTTCGTCTCATCGCATCTCATTAATCTGAAATCTGGCATCTGCTTCTATGTTTGTCTCATTTAAACCTAGCACCTTTTATTTTTAGTAATGGAAAACTGAGTAATTTTGAATGTGTAGTACAAATAGATAAGCTAGACAAGTATAGTAACAAACAAATTGTTACCTTGAAGTCTTAGAGAGTTGGCAGTAGAGAAGTCCTTGACCAAAACCAGAGAGAATAGCAAAATAGATGGTGGTGAGCCTGGACTCTAGAGACACCGTTCCTCTAGGGACATTTTTCAATTCCCAAATGAGTGATCAAGAAGCCAAACGAATATTCGACAGTTTTGTGGGGGTAACTGAACAAAAGCCGAAGTCTTGAGCTTCTCAATGGTAGGAGGGGTCTGATAAACTCTCCACTATTTCATTTGAGACACTAAAGTTCTACTTCCTAGGAATTAGGATGATTGAGAAATAGAATACCCATTACAGGGAATATAACTAGCACTGAATCATCTAACACTTGAAATTGCATTACAGTGATCTCAGATTTCTGATATTCCAAGGAACCTGGACAAAACAAATAAAATTTTTTTCCAGAAAAATATACCACCTTTCTAATCCTGAAATTATTTGTAAAAGCAATTTTTAATGTCTGGCATGCAATAAAGAATAACTAAATACACAATGTTATGATACAATGTGAATAAAAATCAAGAGAACCAATAGAAAATAGAAAAAGACTTTTAGAGGATTAAGAATTTTTTTTGAGAGGGACTTTAATATAGCTATGCTTACATGTTCAAAGAGAGAAAAGAAAAAACGGAATTTCAATGTCAACTATTTTTAAAAAGAAGATGGCAGAATTGAAAAAGGGCAATAGATATTTAGCACAATACTTTAAGATACATAAGATATTAAAAAATTCATCAATAATTAGGTCTCAATGGAAATGTCTTAAAATGAGTTGCGGACAAATGAACATAGAATTAGCAAAATGATAACATCTGTAAGGAAAACACATCCAGAATGAAAACCACAGACAAAAAATGAAAAATGAAAAACACAATAAAAAGATGACAAAAGATGCAATGATAAATTTTAATTTGGTGTAATTAAGCCTCAGAAAAAAAGAAATGAGAATGGAAAAAAAGGGATATTTAAGGAATGACTGTGTTTTTAAAATAATGCGTGAAGCCAGAGATTCAAGAAGCTTTATGAACCCAAATAAGAAAAGTGCAAAGAAATCTACTTTTGAACCCTTCACAACTAAACTGCAGAAAATCAAGAAAAGAGAAAATATATTAAATTTAGTGAGAGAATTGAGTGATTACACTAAAATGAAGCAAAATTAGGCTGATTTCTGACTTCTTGATAGAAACAGGTAAAAAAGCCAAAAACCAACCAAACTCTCTCTCTCTCTCTCTCTCTCTCTCTCTCTCACACACACACACACACACACACACACACACACACACACACACAGGAAATTCAACCTAGATTTTATACTTAGAAAAAAAGTTGCATCAATAATGAAGATGTAACCAAGATGTTTTCAGTCCAAAACAAAACATAAAACAGAGAATTTATCAGCAGTAAGTTCACACTAAATAAGATGTCCTTATTGCAAAAGGAAAGTCAAAGGTTTGGCAGATTATAAACCTTCATGAGACCGGCAACTATGTGAGTAAATTAGACTGAATATTAATTGTATGATAGAATAGTTATAGCATGATAGCATGTAAAATATACATATAGATTTAAGACACATAGCTACAAATCTCAAAGACAAGTAAGGTAAACATAGTTAAAATGTTGTATGCTTTTTGCTATGACATTAAAATTGATCATTTAAAGAGGAATTTTGTAATCTAAGAGTAACCATTGACAGTATATATATGCATAAATATATATACATATGCATGTGCATAAGATATATATGTACACACACACCTATATTTATATTTATATCTTCCAAACTAACAAAGGTGATAAAGGGAATAATGAAATTTCTCGGTCAATCAAATATAATCTAAGGGAGAGGGGAAAGGGAAACTTAGATCAAGCAGGACAAATATAAAACCTATAGTAAGAGGTAGCTATAAACCCATAGCTTTGGAAGTAAGTATAAAAAGTTCCTATATGCAACTGATACAAACAATAAAGACCTATCCACAGGGCCAAAACACAAATCTGTTCCTAAATTTCATGCAGTGGTTCTCCTTCAAAATTATCATGGCTGGAATAAGTTAATCAACAACAGATTAGCTTTCGTTGAAACTCTGAAATTCAGCCAATCACTTAACTCTACACTTAACTCAAAGTCTTACATAAGTTGAAGTACTTGCTTCGTTCGGAGATCTGGTTTCTGCAAGCAGCATACATCTTTAAATAGCAGATAATACATTATATTCACTCTTGTTTCATATATATTTCAAGGGTAGTCTCTTCCCTTGACAAAATACTGAATATTTTAAGCATGTTGGTTATTTCAAATTAATATAATAAATGATACTGGAACAGTTAACATAAAATGATAACATCTGTAAGGAAAATGCATACCGAATGAAAAATACAGACAAAAATGAAAAAGAAACAGAGAAATCTAGGTAAATAAGATTAAATTAGACTACTATCTTGTACCATTCAAAAAATTCAATTCTAATTACATCATAGATCTTAATATGCAAAGGAAAACAACAATACTTCCAGAAAATAATAGAGTAAATGCCCTAGGGCCTTGGATTAGAAAATGGTTTTTTAAATAAACTTCAAAAGAACTAACCATAACAGAAAATATCAATTAAATTTGGCTGCATTAAAATTAATGTCTACTATTTACCAGAATGAAAACAGGCCAGTTCTCAAAGTCCATGTGCCACATTTTGTACCACTCAGTCACATAAACAAACCTGTGTTTCCTCCATTCTATACCACACTACATCATGTAGGACCTTTGTGACCCACTTCATTTCTTTGTAGTGGGATTTTTTCAAAAATATATGCCACCCGCTAGAATTTCCTCTGGAAAATTAAAGTCATAAGCATCTTACATTTCAGGATAGATACCCTTATTTCTGGGGTATATGGTTCTCCTTTCCACCCCCACCCTAATGCTCACCCATGGTTGGGACAGGCAGAAAGCCCCCTTTATGCACCACTCATGAGAGTTCATATTGGATTCACTCTGACTTCTTCCTTTCTCTCTCTCCACCCTTCTTCCTTATCTCACTAGAGGTTCTAATTCCTATGGGCTTGGTGACCTTTGCTTTTATATCATCCTGCATATACCCAAATGATTTGAAAAGACATCATTATCATGACATGTCTCCGTATATTCAGGGCAACAGAATACATGAGAACCAGGATCCCAAGACCAAAATAGCCTTTTTGCTAATTGATTTTCTCTACTATGAGTTTCAATTGTTACGTATTAAACTTAAACATTAAAATGAACTTCTAATATTTTACTACATTTTTCTTTCCATGGGATATAACCCTTGGACATACTGCTGCTTCCTATATAGATAGAATATTTATGGGTTAATGGGAATTACTTGAAAAGGAAAATTCATCAGATAATCTCTCAAATATTATCCCATTAAAGATATTTAAACTTACATATGCTAATATTTGTAACCTTCCAATAGCTAACATTGAGTTTCATTTTAGAATATGAACAAGTTATAAAATAGATTGATTATGTTGGATAAAAGGGTTTGAAAAAATGTTAACGATATTAGGGTCAGATACTGGAAAATAACATTGAGTTATTTTTTTTCAAATCTTTATTAATTTATTCAGCAGCTATATATTGGGCACCTAGGATGTGTTTGAAAACAGTCAAAAGTCACACTCTATAAAGCTTATATTCTTATAGTGAGAGACCAAAAATAGCAAAAAAAAAAACAAAAACAAAAAACCCTCTAACGCGATTATGTAATATACAATCAGACATAACATCAAGGTAAGAATGATAGTGGGTCTCACTTTTATAGAGTGGTCTGAAGAGGCCTCTCTTTTGTGATGACATTTAAGCAAATAACTAGATGAAGAGGAGAGTAAGCACAAGAGATACCTATGAGTTGACTTTTCCATGCATCAAAGAGTATTGTGGTATGTTAGAGTTCCATGATGCAAAGCAATGCCTCCAAGGAATTGCAAAGGAAGAAGAGAGTGCTAGACAGGCCAGATTATACAGGCCATATGTAGTCTTTGGATTTATACTAAGTGTGATGGGGAAGGAGGAGTCATTGGGAGATTTTGTGCAGGAGAGTATCACGATGCAATTTAAATTTTAAAGGATTCATTTTGAGAATAAACCACGGGAAGTAAGTATTGAAGAAGACATTGCAGAAGTCCAAGTGTGAGATCCTGGTGGTTAGGATCAGAGAGGCACTGACACACACTTGAGAAGATTTTGTATACGTTCTGACTCTCTGCAAAGGGCTAATATATATAGTATTTTAATCAAGTGTTTGCATTATATTTAGAAGACAGAGAATGAATTGAAGGAGAGTTAGTAAATTCTTATTAAATCTTGTTGTTAAGGAATTCTAAAATACATTAGTTTAGTGGCTTCAAATTATTTATTTTGTTTGGTAGAGTACAATAGGCCATTTCTTCAGATATGAAATAGCAATTTTTTAATTCAAAAATATTTCAAGGGTATATTTTCAATATAGTATTTGCTTTGAATCATGCTCTATTATAAATAAGTCAATATGGGAGGTTTCACTGAATTAAAAAAATTTCTCAAAAAAATATTTGTGAAGGTACCAGGTTTCTGATTTTCTGAACTCCAGAAATGATCTAGCTCCAGAATCAATTAATGTCACTCTTTCTTTTCAGCTAGAAAATTATCCCCACAAGATGTTTTCATAGAGCTACTCTTTTAGGTGTAACAAAATGACCAGGTGTCTTTCTTCGTGCAATCTGGCATCTTTCCCCACCCCCATCATTGGTGCAGATAATCTTAGAGTTGCATGCCAATTTAAAATGAACATTGGATGAGCCTATACTAGTTTTCAAAGCCTGGCAGGAGGATCACTATCTAGGTTGTAATTAAATTTCAATGAATTGCTGCAGTGAGAAATTATTTAAACAAATCTGGGAACAGTATTTAAGTCTTTCCTTTCAAATGATGAAATTATATACAAAATTATTAAAATGCAAAATCCTAGGATTAACCTCTAACTTTGAGATTAGCTTTCTCTTTGTGTCTCAACTCAGAATTTTATTTTCAAATTCAGAAGAGTTTAAAAAATGATTTTTAAATGGCATCCTCTGAGTTCATTATGAAATCTCACTCTAATCCTGTAATGGTATTAAATGAAGTCATGGGGAATTCGACTCTCAGGATTGAAAATAAATTATTGAGAATTTTCTTTTAACAAAAAGATTAATAGGTGGGGATCTATGAAACCCAGGCATACCTAACTTTGAGTACAGGGGTAAACTCTGTAAAACATTTTTTTAAAACTCTGAAATGTAGAAGTTGAACAACATCAATAATGTGTCCTGCTTTCACAGGGGAAGCTTCAGAGTGATATGAAGATACATCAAACAGGCTTCTTCGGCTTTAATCTTTTTTTACAATAGGGATTTTTGTTGTTATAGCTAGTTTATGAAAGCAATACACACTTGTTGCAAAATATTTAAACATTATAAAATATATAAAGTAGAAAAGGAAATTCTTTTTTGCCTATTCCTTTTCCTTGCCATACCACCTCCCTGCTTACCCTGAGATAATCATTGCTAATAGTTTGATATGTATTTTTATGATATATAATATATAGCTGGGCATGTGATATAAATATGAGATATAATATAGTATATAGTGGACCTAATTGTTTTTGACTTATCAATGTATCACGAACATTTTACATGTCAAACCATGATTTGCGTCATTTTTTAAAAGAGCTATGTAATATTCAATTGAATATATATATCGTGTGTGCGTGTGTGTGTGTGTGTGTACACATGACTATTTGTGTATCTGTTATGCTACAGCAAAAGAAAAAGAATTTTACATACATTAAGTAGTTTAACTCTTGGGGAAGCTAATGTGATGTCTACTATTAGGATCTTTTTTATGTCACAGAAGATACTAAGACATAAGGAAGTTGAGACACTGTCCAAGATCTTAGTACTCAATACAGCTGGGTCCTGATTCCAAAGCTTATATTCTTTTAACTATGCTACAAATCATCTCACATTTTAACTGTAAGTAGTTATTTTCACAGTTTAAATGAAAGGCTTCACTGAATAATGAAATGTCATTTTGCATATTTCTAGCCCTGTCTTTTGGATAAATTTCTAGGAGTGCAATAGTTTCAACTCCAATCCTTATTGGGAGAGAGACACTCCTAGCAGTGTTATATGTGGGAGTGCCTATTTTCAGCGAGTGCCTAAACACTTGCTGAATCTAAGACTGATTGAACTTGTTAATTTTCACAAATTGATGGATGCTGATTAAAAGAATTTAAGTCTCTTTTCAAAAGCTTAATGCATACTTGTGTTTCTTTCATGAGGAATATCAAGGAATCAAGAGTTTTGGTATTTATTCTTATTACATTGTAAAAATCCTAAGTTAAAGACATAACCCTTTGTTGTATTTGTTATAAATATTTTGAAAATTTGATGTTTCTCTTCACATTTTGTTTTTGTGACTTTTTCATGTATATTATTTAGGCATAATGGACATACACCTGTGACTTCCTTTTATTAGTCTTCTAGCCATAGTATTCTGCTTAGAAAGATTTAGCCCAAATTTTTAAAAATATTCTTTTACTTCATCTTATTTTTTAAATGTTATGTTCTAATTCATAATTCGTAATTAATTTTGCTTTGCATGATAGGCATTTCTATCATACCAAATGTAGGATTAATTGTCCCCGAATTCACATGAACTTAGCCCTAAGTCTATATAATTTCCTTGCTAATCTTAAGCATAAATCCATAGCTCATACTGTTTCTATAAAATACTTGTCTTCTCTGTTTGATCCATTATTATGATTCACATCTTGTTTGGCCAAATTTAATTGTTAAGCAACTCTCTTCAGAATAACATGATTGGTATTATGCCTTCTGAGCCTTCAGTGAATGATATAGGTTTTTTTTTTCCCTCAGAGATGAAGAAAAGGCTAAATATGCCAGAATTTCCTGAATTATACTCCACTGACTCTCCAATGAGATTTTAACAGATTTTTTGAAGTAGAAGGGACACTGTTTTCCAGTAAATTTGGAAAAGTATTACACAAAATTAAAACTCATTTTGATGTGTTTATATTTGATTTTATTATAGGGTTTCTTAGAGTTCTCAAATATTGTGTTTTATGTTTTTCTAGGAAATAAATATTATATATTATATATATAAATTTTACACATTTATATATATATATAAATGTATTTGTCCAAAGATACCTTTTTAGTAAGTAACACATGTCAAGATATCATACAACAATAACTGGAATTGTTTGGAAAATTATCATTGCAGTTATTAGGGTGTATAATTTGAGATGCTCTGTTCATTGAGTTTCATGGAGAATCAAATCCTATCAAAATGTAAGGAAAATTTTTCCTGCTTACTTTTACCAGTCTGTTAAATAATTGAGCTCTAATCTATGTATTGGAGATCTATCCTGTTTCTTTCTGTATAATATTCATTTATTCATTAATATTGAATTAATGCCTACTGTATATCAGGAACTCTTCCAGGTCTTAGGAATGCAGAATAAAACAAGTTAGAAAATAATCCTGTGGAAGTTGGTGGAAGGAAGGGGAAAGACAAGATAAATAAATCAGTAAAATACTAAATTTTTCATATCATCAACAAGATATAAAACAGAAGGGGCATAGTGAATATGGTGTGTGTGTGCATGTGTGTGCATGCGTGTGCATGTGTGGGGTAGGAGTGTAGATTTTGGTATGATTCAGTGTTAAATATGAGGTCAGAAATGTTTTGCTGAGAATGCTGTATTTTAACAAGAACCTAAAGGAGATGAAAGAGCAAGTCATGTGTATTTGGGATGAACACTGGCATCGAGAACAGGCAAAAAAACACTGAGTTATTTTGTTAAAGCAGGCCAGCAATTCAAACAGCACATATCTTAATGAGAAGATATTCAATTATTTTAACCTAGAGGACATTTAGGACATTTGTTACATCTGTGTATATGAGCTGTAGGAAGGTTATAGCTGCACAGTAAGTGACTTTGCCTTCTTTTACTATTTTTTGAGACGGAGTCTTGTTCTGTTGCCAGGCTGGAATGTAGTGGCATGATCTTGGCTCACTGCAACCTCTGCCTCCTAGGTTCAAGTGATTCTCCTGCCTCAGACTCCTGAGTAGCTGGGACTACAGGTGTGCACCACTATGCCTGGCTAATTTTTGTGTTTTTAGTAGAGATGGGATTTCACCATGTTGACCAGGGTTGGTCTCGATCTCTTGA